AATGTTTAAAAATATTGTTCTAACATGAGAACTGATTTTATTTGGAGAGAGTAAGTACGGAGCTGGCTTAAATAGAAAACATTTTGTTAACCCTCAGCTAACGGAATTCAGGCCTGAAGCACTGTATTCCTATTGGAAAACCAATTGCAGTTGCACATGCTTTCATTAAATCCAGGTTAATTCCACTCAGTTTATGCAACTTCTGGATAAACTTGGTGATGTATATAGTCTAAAGAACACTAGTTTTTAGATCCTTACCTTCTGCATTTCAAAGTTAAAAAAAGATTTTGTTTTTCCTAAAATTATTGTCTTTGAAAAAAAAAAGCTCAGATTAAATATTTGTAAAAGTCAGGAAGACTAGAACTAAACATCTGCCACATGAAGATCCCAAAGTACTTTGTGGAAATACCAGCATGCTTGTTTTCAAATAGTGAGATTGCAAGAAATGGAGATTCTGTGTCATTGAAGACAACAAGAAGCCCTTGCAGAATCAAAGCCAGAACGTCAGTCTCTAGATTTTAAATTCCATGCTCTAACAATTAGACCACAGGATATCTCCAGAATAGCTTGCAGGCCTTATATCTGCTTCCCTCTCATATTGTATAGGGAAAAGTCCTACTCTGTTGTCATGGTTTAACCCCAGCCGGCAACTAAGCATCACAGAGCTGCTTCCTTGCTCCAGGCCGGTGGGATGGGGGAGACCATCGGAAGCGTAAAAGTGAGAAAACTTGTGAGTTGAGATAAAGACAGTTTAATAGGTAAAGCAAAAGCCGTGCACGCAAGCAAAGCAAAAGAAGGAATTCATTCACTACTTCCCATCGGCAGGCAGGTGCTCAGCCATCTCCGGGAAACCAGGTTAAAGCGTAACAGTTATTTGGGAAGGCAAATACCATCACTCCAAACGTACCAGCCTTCCTCCTTCTTCCTGCCGCTTTATATGCTGAGCATGATGTCATATGGACTATCCCTTTGGTCAGTTGGGGTCAGCTGTCCCAGCTGTGTCCCCTCCCAGCTTCTTTTGCACCCCCAGCTACTTGCTAGTGGGGTGAGAAGCAGAAAAGGCCTTGGCTCTGAGTAAGCACTGCTCAGCAATAACAAAAACATCCCTGTGTTACCAACACTGTTTTCAGCACAAATCCAAAACATAGCTCCATTCTAGCTACTATGAAGAAAATTAACTCTATTGCAGCCAAAACCAACACACTTGTTGAAAGTGAATATTCTAGAAATGTTTCAAATTCCATCTAGTAAAGAGAGATTGAGAAGAAAATCCAAAGGAAAGTAATAGCTATTGAATGGTATTACACCTATATCCCAGAGCAACAAATCTTACTATTTTTCCTCATTTGAACCTCATTCTTGAGTGTTTTGTTGTTAACTTGATCCAGATGACAGATCAAAGCATAGTTCTCTATTGCCACCTTGCTAAAATATTTTTTAAAAGACAGTTTTAATATTATAGTTTTGCAGTTACAGATTGCTGTTAAGCTATTTAGTCTGTTACCAGTCAATCAAAGACTTTCATTTCATTTCAGTAGATTCTTACTTAAACTCAAGAGGATTTTAGGAGAACAAGAAATATCTGTCAGTTTGCTTACAGTGCTAGATCATAAATTCTTTGCTAAGTGGGTTAAAAATTCAGTTACACATACCATTCATGACCTTGACAGCTTAACAAATAGTGATACTGAATGATCAAAGACAACTGTTTCAAGCCCTAAGGGTTAATATACCTGTGCACCAAGAATTAAGCTGCTTTTAATTCCTGTATCATTCTTTTATTTCAAAATGGATGCAGTATTTACTGAATGGAGTCAATAAATTTAAAGAAAAAAAAAATCTGAGGAAACCGTTTAGGCTAAAACTAATGAGGCTATACACGATCTGTAGGAGATGCAGTTCATTAATTGTTGCATTTTATAAGTTAACGTTTCTTCTTTCGTAGTATAAATCCAAATTAAAAACTGCTCCTTCTCAGATGTGGGCCTCGTGTTCTCCAGGCATTTTCAAAAAGAGCTGTTGGTATGATGATTTTGTTGTCAGAGCTGTGGCTGTGTAAATTCTGAGAAACGTCGTTTTCAGGAAAACCATATCAATAATAGCAGTTTTGAGAGGAAAAGATGAATAAAATGTTGAACTATTTCAGATACAGTGTTCTTGTGCAAAGTAGCATGTGATGCAAATTAGATACGGCGCAGTTTAAATGTGCATACAATCATCACTCTAATTGTCATGAATTGTACATTCCAAGACTGAATTTCCCGACCATCCAGAAAATCATATTGAATAATCTGTTGTGCTTTCAAAAGTAGTATAAGAAAACATCTTGGATGTTCGTGAACAGGAAGTTTTCAAGTATGCTGAAGGTGTTGCAGGATATGATGGCATTGCCAACTCGGTAGGTGGTATTTTTCCCTTGCAGTCAGTACTGAAGCAGTGTCTTAATATGTTGATATGGGACCTAGACCGTGAGGATTTACTGTCTGTCTGGTAAACCAATGTCCTAAAACATACACACCTTCCGGTGTGCTTGTGTGTGCGCTTGTATGTAAGTGTAGGAGTGTGAAGACCCGGGGTTCTGAATGAATGCCGATATGGTTGATTAATTTCTTCTTCAAATGAAAATATATCTGGCATTTCAAAGCCTACTAAAAATTGGAAGTGTTAGCAAGGGAAGCAAACACAAGTTATGTTAGAGATTTTTGTTTAGAAGGACCTCAAAAGGGTTGTATTTTTCCTCCGGATGGCTTTTCTTTTGTTCTTCCTCCAGATATCCTGTTCATCCTCCTCAAAGGTCCTGCTTTTAAAAGTTTGAAATCATACTATATTTTATGCTTCTGAAATCAAAACTAAGTTGAAAATAGCTAGAAAATACAGTTCAGTGTGAAACTACAGCACTCTGACAGTAGCTAAGGCAAAGACAAACAGAACCTCAAAATCATATTAGTTTCCATTGTGAAGAGCTAACAAATAAAAACAAAAAGCTTCTAAAAACAGCGTTTTGCAAAACCTTTAGCATTATTTTAAGAAATTAATGACAATCACAAATCATGTAGAAGTTTGGATGTTTTTATAATCACTTGAATGGAAAAGAAATTCTCATTCACATTTCTTATATATTTTGCTTCCAGAACAGGCATACTGAAGGAAACCTACTACAGCATTAACATTTCTTTGTGCACTTTTTACTGCAATCTGGCATCGAAAAGGAAGAAACATTAGAAGTGGTTTATTTATATTTCAGCACCAAATTAGAAAGATGAAATCATTCATTTACAGTTCTTATCCCATGACACGTCTAATCCCCAACACCTCATTACAGGGGACACTTTTAGGATTGCATATATCATCTTGTTTAACTTTTGCATTCTTTTATGGAATACAGTTGAAAGGTAGGAAATTTAAGGCTGTTCATTGATAAGAAAATAAACTAATAAAATGTTAGGAGCTTCCCCAAAGAGGCAGGATCTTACAATGTTTACAGTAAGTGGGTTATTATTTGTCTATTAATTTTCCATCTTTTCCACTCTTTTGTTCAAAAGGCCTTCCTCTTTGAATCTAAAGACAAATGGACCAACTATTCACAGTGGCTAACACATGAGCACATCCGATCTGTGGTTGTTCTCTGTCTTGTTGTTGTGGATGCCTTGAGGTTTTGGGGTTGGTTTGTTTGTTTGTTTTTACTTGAACTGAGTACAGGTTCCCTCCTGTAAAATAGTTTTCTATGATTCTTCTAATGGACATCATGTGAAGTGCTCAAGAAGCATTGTGACGTTTCAAAAAAAATTAATTGCTAAAAAGACACCTCAGTATTTCCTGTGATCCCTGTGGTTCATAGTTTTCCTTGCATTCAATTTTGTTATACTTCAAATATTGTGTAATATGAATATTTAGTTTGCTTTTTTCCAAATCTCTTTTTTTGACTTTAGCAAAAAACATTAAAATTGGGGAATTTAATGGCAGCCTTTGAGTAGAGACTTTTTTGTGCTTGACTAGCTCAAATGATGACCATGTAGAGAATTGGCACAAAGTAGGTAATGCTCCTTTCAAGAGCAAGAGTTGATAGCATTTTCTTCTGGATTTGCATAGTGAAAAAGTAAGTATAACTTGATTACAGGTTAACAGCCTTCAGTCCTTCTAATAGAAAAAAATAAGTACTGTGTCCAGAGGTATTGGGCACTTGGTATTAAGATATATTTGGTATTATGAGCAAGATTTGAATTATTCCAGTCTATGTATTTCATGGTGTGGAATAATTGTAATAGTGATAGAGTGGCAATGTATCTTGTTATCTCATGGTGACATAGATTTTATTATCTGTACACGGCAGTAGCTGAAGTGTTGATCTTTTTTTTCAAGATCTATATCCAAGACTTACTTTCATTCAGTAACGTGCGTCAAGTTCCGTAATCACTTGTTTCTCTAAGTGCCTGTGTCTGTATCGGTTAGTTTTCAGACTCTTGTCACTGTTTAGCAGGGTGATCGTGATGTACAATTAAAATAATTAAACCAAAACAGACCTTTTAGCATAAATATTCATGTTTGTTGTTGACATGCCTCAGTAGCTAACTGTAAATATTTTGAAGTACACTTAATATTCCTTTCAGTGAGATTTTAAAAGTTAATTGGCAAGACATAATAATAAACTGGAAAAAATAGAAAACTGTTCTAAACCAGTAAATTTAGAAAAGCAGATTGTCTCTGTTGACACCCTTTAAACACAACATCCTTGATCATAACCCTTTCTGACTTTTGTACAATTATACTCATGGAAAAACTGAGACAGTAGATGTGTTCACATACTTTGTTATCTTTTTCTATTTCTGTTTCCTTTTCTTTGTGAGCCAGCAGTCTGGACCGCTATTGTTAGGTCCTCATAGCTAGAGAAAAAAAAAAAAAGGCAAAAAAAAAACCTAAGAAAGAGCTAAGATCTTCCTAAAACACTGTTAGAGTAATATATTCCAGCATGTAATAGATTTCTCACTTTACATCTTAAACAGACACAAAACAGAATGAAACTGATGGCAGATAACTATGATGATGACCATCACCACTACCACCACCATCACCACCACCACCATCATCGATCTCCTGGGAGGCCACAACACTCCAACCACAGACCCTCTCCAGATCAGGTTAGTCACCTCCTTTTTCTCCCTCAGTTTTGTAATTTTACTATTTTAATATTTCAAGATAAAATACATAGTCCAAAGAAACAATAAGCAAGTGATGTGTTGTTTGAACTGAAACTCATAGCTCTGGTATTTATTTCGATCCCTAAAGCAATTTAAATGTTTTGGCTTTTTGTCTGGTGTGTTACATTTTTTCTTCCTTTTCTTTAGAAGTATTGCAGCTATTTCCAGTATTTCGTAAGTCAACTTTTTCAGTAGAAAATCAGTGAAAAAAATCTTCTACTTGGTGATTACTAGTGATTTCAGAAGTATGCACTTTTTGGAATAATTTTTTATTTATTCAAAGTAAATGGATTAATCATTAGTATTGAAAAACTTGTGCAGCAGTTCCCTTTGGCAACTTGTAAATCAATGATTCTAAACTGGTTTTGAAAGTATCTTTCTGTTGAAGCTTAAAATCAATAGTGATACATTTTTAAGTAGACAAGATAAACCAAATTCCAGACATGTTTTAGTTTAAAAATGCTTTGTAATTCAGTATTATTGTTCTTACAATATTATTCTTCTTAGAGTCTGGTGTTTCAGAAAGGGCAGGTAACTGTCCTGATAACATGGTCTTCTAGAGTGTGTTAATTAAGTATGCTAGCATTGAACCTTTTGTCCTCCACCCAGGGTGAAAAAGCATCCATAAGCCCAACACTGTTTTGATTTTGTAAATGTCAATATTTCTTCACAAATAAATACATTTTTAAAATAAAAATATTTTTGTAAATATGTAACTCATTTTTTATTGATAATATTTTAGAATATTAATGATGTGAATGTTAGGTGAAAATTAAAATAAAAAATTATTAAAACAAGTTTACTATCACATAGTTTTAAATTAATATTTACACTGTATATGTTTGGAATGAGGAGGTTGTGATGTTCTGTGGTTCATTAGCCATTCCAACACTTTGGAATACTTTAATGTGCTTTTTCAGATAAGGTTGCTGTCAATAGGCAGAAATTTGCTAAGTGTCCGTTGTGCAAGCTCAGTACTTTTGTTTCATAGACCACTGGGTGAAGCAGACACGTTGACTGAAAAGTTTATTGTTTTGATGTATTTGAAACAGAATTTCTGTTTCCAAAGAGAAAATGCTACGCCTTTTATTTCTGGAATGCTTAAAGACCAGATCTACCAAAACTGAAGTATCTACTTTAATTTTATAGTTATAATATTGAAAATAATGCTATAGTATTGCTGTAACTATTAGTAATAATGTTATCATTATTAGATACAGCTAGTTATAATCATAAAGTTGTAGCATTGAAAATAATAAATTCTTTAATTCATTACGTAATTATATTAAATATACATTACATTTATATATACACACCAAACTAGTATTTCAAATTCTAATGACAACTTTGTCTCATCCTTAAAATACCCTTCTGCCAGTGAACATGATTTTGTAATTGTTTTCTGAGGTGTATGGGTCTGATACTGTTAAAAATTTGTTATGGTAGAAAATAGTGTATGTGTGTACATGCACGCGTGTATGTATGTGTGTACATGCACGCGTGTATGTATGTGTGTACATGCACGCATGTATGTATGTGTGTACATGCACGCGTGTATGTATGTGCATGCAATGCTAAACCCAAGAAATACAAATGAAAGAAGCTAAGCTGTAGTAGATGAAATGTCAAGAAACAAACCGGTTTTGAAATTAAAACATATATGTAAGCCGTACTGCCAGCATGCCACGTGTTTCCAGCTGATACTGGGTGGCACTATTCCATTTCAAATGAATATGCTTAGTAAGTGGAGAGCTGGTCAGCTAGGGATGGAGTCTGACCTGAAGATTACTTTCAAATTTTCACTATACGACTTCTTTTCACTGTATGACTTTTTAGCCTGCTACAATGAGTGAGAGTAGAAAACTGTAGGAGTTTTAGGAGGAACTCAGTCACAGTAGGACAAGGAGAAGAGTTATTCACATATGTCTTTATTTGGAGCAGGAAAAATAGCCTATAGAAGCAAGTAACTCTTTTTCAGGTAGAGAACTCTGGGGAAAAATAAAGCCATGTATGGTTTTATATGAAGAGTCATTGTTTGATAGTAACTTAGTTTATAAGTTCATAATGTCTGGGTAGAAATAAAAGGGAAAAACATTGATGAAGTTATAGCAGGGATATATGATAGACTACTTAGTCAGAAATAGGAGACAAAGAGGCAAATGACACTTTTTTTAGAATGACTGTTAGAGTTGTGCTAAAGACAGGAGCTGTTAAGTATAGGAGAACTCAATTTCTTGCATACCAACTGAAAAAAACAAAGCAAAAACAAAACCTGAACAACAGAACACAGAATCTTTCAAGTTCTTGGAACATGTTAAGAACAGCTTTTTCTTTCAGAAAGTGGAGAAGGGTATTAAAGACTTGCTGTCTTGGTTTGAGGTCTGTTTCTGATTAACAGAGGTAAGTTGGCTGAGTTTACAGAAGTCAAAATTGTCTGAAAATGACCATGAAATAAAAAGAGGCTTTGGCTTTGTGCAGATAATACAATGAGAAAAACAGAACGAAGGCAAGAGATGTGAAAAAAACAGGTAACAACAACCTCTGTGTTACTGAAACCCAGACACTGGTTTCAACTAATTCAAGAAACCTGAACCCGTAAAGAAAATTTGAGGGACAAGACAACGTGAGAGAGCTAACATTTAGTGAAGAAGGTGCTTTTCAATGCACAATAACAGACTATTCAGGGAAGAGAATGGATAAGGAGCATCTGTATCAAAACATCTTGAAGGACTTAAAGCCCAAGAAATTATATGAATGATGGAAATGGATACATGATTAGAGATAGAGCACATAAAACACTGGCTATTTTACTAGCTTGTACTAGTACCAGTATTCTCAGTTTTGCTGTGAACTATTTATGATTATATTCAACAACTCTCATGCAGCATATAGGAGAACCTTGGAGGCTCGAGGAAGGCAAACACTGTTCTCGTCTTCACAAATAAAATGTATGGAGAGTTATGAATAGCTTTATTTTAGACCCTGGAAAGTTATGAACTAAATTATTAATTAGTGAATCAATAGAAAGCCAGTAGTCTTTTCACTGTTCATTTTCAGCAGCTTGATGTCTGTATCAAACTGTATGATGGTATCTATGTGTCCATCTCAGTGTATATCAAATCACTTTATACTTGCTTCACTGCTATCCTTTTTTCCTAATCATCAACTGGTGGTTCCTATCCTAGACCAGATAAAATATTTTTATGCTACATTCTTGAAGACATGAGATTGTTTATCACTATATACTTGCTTTATTCTTGCACTTTTTCCTAGGTGACAGTTTTGGGCCACTCTCTAAAACAGAGTGTAGGTCTAGATGGCTGTTACATAGCATACCCATCCTATATTTAGTCTGCCTGTATTTGTCAAGGACAAATTATGTCAAGCAAATCTAATTTCTTTTGATAGGGTAACTGCCTTTGTGGCTACAGAGGAAAGTGGTAGCTGTGACATACTTTGAATTCATAAGGCATTTAACACTGTCCCACCATATATTTATAATATACAAATAAATACATTAATTTTTAGTGTAATTAACATGTAATGTAAAATGCATTACAATAATAAAAGCTGTAACTATAAGTAATACTGTTTTAATTTAAATAATTATGAAATCACCATGAGTTGGATGTGCAACTGATTCAAATAACATGCTACAGACAAATTTTCCATTACTCATTGTCAGACAGGAGGACATTTACAGCAGGGTTCCAAAGAGGTCTGTCCTTTAGCTGCTTCTGTGGAGTATTTTTTAAGAAATTATTTCAGTCATTAAATAGAAAAGAAAACACACTATAGTATTGTTGATAATGAATCAAGCTGCAAGAAGCTGCAGGCATAGTAGGAGCAGTTAAACTGCTCAGTCTCCATGAACTCCATGAAGCTCCAGTCTCCGTGAACTAGAGAGAAAGTCTCAAATAAGTAATCTGACATTCAGTAAAGACAAGTCCATTTACAAGGAAGTCACATGTACTGATGAGGCAATAGCATGGAAAAAGGAATCTGGATTCCACATAATATATGGCAACAATAGAATACCATTGCAATGAAGTTGGATCTAATTCTGGGATGGTTGTAATGCTGGAAAAGAAGCAGGAAGCAATTATTCTGTTCTTTCAAGCACTAGTGAGACCTATCTGAAAAGCTGTATACAGTTTTGATCACCATGCTTGGAGAAAGATAGACAAATTAGAAAGGGACAAAAGGAGAGCAACAAAAATGATAGGAGTTTTAGAGAACATGACCTATGAGGAAGGCTTAAAGAACTGGGTTTGTTTAGTCTAGAAAGTACTAAAGGGGCGACATAAGTCTTCTAATACATAAAATGTTGTTGTAAAGAAGACGATGATCAATTGTATCCAGTGCCTACTGAAGAAAGAGTAAGAGTGGTAGATTTAATTTATACCAAGAATAACTAGGTTAGTTATTAAAAAAAGGGAAGCTTTTTCACTATGAGTCTAATGAATTTGTAAGTGGAAAGAAAATGGAAAATGTGAACATTCGTTCATATAGATGTAATGAAAACTCCTTTCTCGGAGGTTTTTAAGAACAGGTTAGATGAGTATCTGTGGCACAAGATAATAGCTTTATTTCATCGTGTGTTGGTGCATTGGGCTTGGAGTAGGGGTTCTCCTGAAGTACTGCCATCCCTAAGTTTCCACAGACTCTGTGAACAATAGATTAGCTCAGCTGATGTTTACTTGTAAAGCAAGCAAATAGGAGATCCATAGCAAAATTCTCGCTGAAATAATCTTTGAGAGCAGCACAGTCAATGATAATCATGAGTGAACTGTAGTCATTGCTTTAGCTTACATTTTTCAATACTGGATTTATTTTTTCTTTATTATTTTCTGTGTTGGGTTATTTACCATTCTGTACAACATTCTTTTGAGCAGTAGTTTGATTTCTAAGTTCCATACAAACCTGTATTTCTCATTCAA